GAAAGCATTTAGAAATTAAAAGCTTAGATTATAAAGTTTAGGATTTGGACTACGATTTGTGTAAAAATTAAAGGATTTGGAGTTAGGGTGAAGAAGATGGAACCATTTAAAGTTAAGGTATTAATTTAAGACATACTATTACTCTTTTGAAGATATGAAGAGTTGTATAGTAGCTTTTGAAGATAAAAAGGTACATCTAGAATAGAAATTTTAAGTCCTATGTCTTTTATGAAAGAATTATTGCTTTTAAAGTTCATGTAAAGGAGTTATAGTAAATTGAAGGCAGTGCTTCTAAATCAAAGGGAATAAGTAAGTAATTTTATTTATAGTAATGGTTGGAGCCATAACTTAAGTTTTGAGATGAATTTTGGCTTAAAATTTTTAAAGAATATAATATTTTATGTTAAAAAGCTATATATAAAAATTTCGTGGCATTTGAGCTTATATTTTGTGAGATATAAAGAAAATTGCATGCAAGTGTATAAAATCAAGGGTTTAAAGTGACTATTAGGGTTTTTAAGATATCTCAAGATTCGCAATGAATTTGAAGTTAAAATTTATTATAGAAGTTAATAAAAATATATCAATATCTCATGTAAAATTTAAATTTATTTGGATAGTCAGATTAGGAGATATGAGGTGTTGAAGTTTGGAAAAATTTTCACATAAGCATATACAATGTTTTAGAGGATTTTATCATATTTTGGATGTTGTTGGTTACTTGAAGCTTATGTATTTGGTGTAATTGCTCAAAAAGAAAAAATCTATGTATAAACTTAGGACTTCTCTTATTTTAAAGGTTGATTGAATAATTAGTCATAGCCAAAAGCCTAGCATTTTCTTGAAGCAAATTCTCTCTACTCGGATAGTAGAGTATATGGAGTTTTTGTTTGTTTAGTAATTCCTTCATTCTTCAAATAAACATCAAATTACTTAGACATGTACTCATCTCCATTGCCCATATACAGAATTTTAATCTTACACTCACTTTTTTTTTCAACTAGTGCTTTAAATTCTTTAAACACCCAAAAGCACTCGCTCTTTACTTTAAGAATATAAATCCAAATTTTTCTTGAAAAATCATCAATGAAAATAGGAAAATACCTTGTTCCTTCAATATTTATATTCTTTATAGATCTATATACATAAAAATGGGCAATCTCCAACAATTTTATGACATATGTTGCTACACCACTTGAAAATGAGGCCCTTTGTTGTTTGCCTTATATGCATTATTCACATGCAAGTTATATTATATTTTGGCTTGTTTTACCAAGATTTAAGCTACTTACCATAGACTTAAGCTTTGCCATACTCTTTACATTCAAATGGCCAAGGAAATAATGCCATATATTCAACTTATCTTGATTTGATGTAAACTTAGTAAATACAACTACCTCCACTTTATTAACCTTCTTATACTTGAGGTAGTACAAATTCCCCTATCTAGAGCCTTTGGCAACCATGTTTCTATACAATATTTTTATAAAATATCTATTCTTGTTGAATTGAACCATAAAACCTTCTATTATAAGTTTACTCACTAAAAGTAGGTTTTGCTTCATTTTGGGCATATGAAAGATATTTTTGAATCTAATCCTATTGGTTTGTCTATTCACAACAACTTCTACCATAATAGAACCAATTCCAATGGCTTCACATATGCCACTATCTACCAAAATCACATTTGATTCTAAAATAACCTCATAAGTGTCAAATAAATACTTATAAGGTATCATATGCTTGGAACAACCTAAATATACAATCCATCTTGACATGGCAGCTATATAAGTCTCATTTATTGTTATAAATGCATAATCTTATCTTACAAATTTATCTTGTACACTATTTGCATTCTTTTATTTTTATTTTTTTGCCCTTGTAGCAAACTTGCTTCATTTGTGGCAAAATGTCTTACTTTGCCACAAATGAAGCAAGTTTTGACATTACCTCATTGCTTTGAATAGTTGTCCTTGCCTTGTCATGAGTAAAGTACTGAATCTTTATTTTGAGATTTTTTTTCTTTCTTTTTGGTTACTTTATGGCTAACTCTTACTATCATGTAATTCATTGTAAGTTCTTTGATCTTGATGGATTTCAAAGCCACAATGAAATAGTTGTAGAATTCTGGTAAGCTCATGAATAGAGTCATAACAACATCTGCTTCTTCTAAAGGCTTGTTAACAATTACATGTTGATTTCTAAGTGCCTTTATCTTATTGATGTATGCTATGAGATCTTCAACTTCTTCCATCTTACATGTGAAGAATTTCTTCCTTGTATAGATGATGTTGGATAAGTTCTTGCTCTCATAGATGTTGTAAAGAATCCTCCATGCTTCTATTAGTCCTTTGAAAAGATAATATGGAAGAAGTTGGCTTCATCTATATTACATGCAATCAATCCAAAAGCCTTCTTTTCATGACTTTTGTAGTCCTTTTTCTCCTTTGTATTAGCATGCATGCTTGGATGCTCTCTACTTTCATCTACAATATTCCATAGGTCTAAAGCAACCAACAAAAGCTCCATTTTGACCTTTCAATGGTAGAAATTCTTACTTCTAAACTTTTCAATTGCTCTCAAGCCTTCACCTTCACTTGAAGCCATGTTATAGGAAGAGATGTATCAAAAAAGATCAAGAAAAATAGTCTTAAAGCTCTCAAAATCAGCAAAAAGAAATTATTGCTTTAAAATCTCAGAATGCCTTCTTTGTGAATAAACTATCATTTTCACTCTCAAAACACTTTCAACTTCACTTTTAGGACCTCTCACAAATTTAATGATCAATATAAATGTCTCAAATCATATTTTTCACTCTTTTATTATTTTTATGCTCACAAATCACTTTTAGATATTATAAGAGGTCTTTTAAGCACCTTAAGCTCTTTTAATACATGAGATTATAATGTTAGTCTACTAATGTTCTTAATCAATAAGAAAAAATAATACTAGTATTCTAAAATATCACCATAAGGTACAAATCAAACCTTGAATTTAAGATGCACTTAACAACAAATAAGAGCAAACAAAGATCTAGATCTAGTTATGAATCTAAAAGTTAGGAATTTTAAATCCTAATATCAACAATAACAATATGATGTACTCCACACAATAAGAAAGACTTCATAAAACTATAAAAAAACTCACAAAAGAATGTTAGTGGATCCATCACCTATTGAAGAAAGAGAAATTAGAAGCCACAATACTTAGCATCAGCAAGGTTGTACAAAAAATGAAGTAAAGTTTAAGATGACTCTTACTTCTAACACTCTTTACTTACAGCTAGATTTTACATCAATTGTAGATGAACTTAATCATTTTCATTCTTCTTTCTTATATCCAACTAAATCCTAGATTCTTCTTATCCTAGCTGCCTTTATAGTAATATCTTTTAATGCTTTGTTGTCTTTTAACTATTAACAACTTATTATGGTTTAACTCTATATGGTGGCAACTATGCAAGATCTTGCTGCTCTTCAATAAAAACCTCTATGAGTTGAGTTAAATAGCATCCATTTATTCTAATTCCATCTTTGTTATAATGGCTCTCTTTAGTTATTTGGCAAGTTTTAGTTCTTCTAAATCTCAAAATTAAACTTGGAATAGATTTTAAAGATTCTTGTTTCCTACTAATCATATTTTTGACAATTTAAACTTGTCATTCTAAACAAATATGAACTGGTTCTCATTCATGTGTCAAAAGTAAGTTCAAGATCCATTTCTATTTGTTGCTTGATTAACACTATATGAAACAATTGTTGACATTCTGACTTTTAGAATATGGCATTATATTGTCACTAATTCCATGAGATTTAGTCACTCAGTTCTTTGAGTTGGCTTATGTTTCCGAACGAGTTGGTATTGTGATGCAAGGACATATCTAGCAACAAATTCACAAGCCCACTGCCAAACTTCATCTACCTTTGCAGTGTGATTGCATTGTGAGTTAGATACCATCCATACACTCATCTATGTACCATTAAGCAAAGATCGATGTATTTCCCTTTACTTATTTAATCTTCACTACTAACTTAAGCAGATTCACCCCTTATTGATAATTCAATAATTTTCAGCTCATGGGCACTTGGTAGTATACTTCAGGTTGGAGAAGTTTGGGAGTCATATGATTGCTGAATTTGTCTGTTGCAGACCAGGGCCATTAGATCATGGAGGTTGATGCAATTAAGCCCTGTATATTTGGAAGGACAAGTTGGATTCATTAGCCACAACCAGCATCGATTCCAGTCTATGACTACAATTGACTACTTATATAACACCAATTGTAGACAATAATGGACCTTCATGTGTTTCCCTTTGTGATTCAGAAATCTAAGTTCAAACTTCTTCACAGGGTTGTCCAACATATCGGCATCGTACAGAGGCCCACAGCTTTCGGAGTCACTCTCTGTGCTTGAACTTTCAGGCCTTAAAACTGGTGGCTTTTTCCCTAACTGGAGTGCATTTGCACCAATGAAGACGCCACGTTCGGAATTGTAAGGGCGTCTACCCGTACACAGCATTAAATAGTCCGGCCTTTGATACGTATATTGTAAAATAACTTCTTGCTAAATCATGAGTGTAAGCATATATTTGTTTATAGCAATATGTGGCATGCTTACCTGTTCAGCTTCCATCGATCTTCATAGGCTGCCATTTACAACCTATTCATTCAACTTTCCTGAATCAGAGGCACTTGTGTTCGAGTTTTCATGGCTAGATTGTTGAAAATGTGTTGATCTTCAGTCTGGAGGGCAATCCATGTTGCAACATCGGTTGGACATAGATGGTGTTCTACATATTGTGGATATCGCTGAATATCCAATACCCTCGCATTGGCAAGTAAGAATTATTTTCCGATCAATTGTTCTTTATTTCATAGACTCGGTTAAAAACATTACTGATGCATTGTTCTGCAAAAGAAAACTTCTCAGCATGTCTGTACTGACCTCACCATTCTCTATGAATTTGCTGAGTCCAACAAGAACTGGAAGGTCGTGATAATGGCCAGTTCCGGAAGCTCTGCACTCATAGTTGTGTTGCTGATCCTGTGCTTTGTCCTCATCCTTCGTCAGAACCGCAAGTATATTCGAGACCTTCAGAAGAGTGAGTGAATAATCTGCCATGTTTAAGTAGTATTGCTTAGCTGCTTTACATCAACCAGCTTGTAGGTTGAGTCACCAGAGTTTTTTGCACCATATTGAAGCAAATCTGTAACTATACTCCATCTGCATTGGTGTACCTTCACGTGCAGAAATCAATGAAGCTGATGTCAGCGCCAAGAGGTTTGACTATAATGAGCTTCAAGTGGCCACCAAAAACTTTGCTCCAGAAATGAAATTGGGTGCAGGAGCCTACGGAGCTGTGTACAAGCTAAGAGCACACTCTATCAAGTACTATTAATTTCTCCCATCGTATGTCTACGGGTTTAAAGTTTGCATATGTAATAATATATTGACTTACAATTTTTTTTTGTGCAGGGTATCTTGGCAAGCAACTTGATGGTGGCAGTGAAGCAACTGTTTTTGGAGACAACAGTGGGACAAATGACTTCCTCAACGAGGTGATCCTCATTTCCAACCTTCAGCATCGCAATCTCGTCACCCTCAAGGGCTACTGCCTCCATGACAAGCAGACACTCCTTGTCTACGAATACGTGGATATCTCTGATCTGGACAAGGTTCTTCTAAGTAAGGGCAGCAGCTGATCCTCCCAAGTCAATCTATCTTGTTGGAATTAAATTACTTCAAACTATGCTAGTGTTCTCCAGTTGTTGTCTGATTTGTATAAATTTGGTAATATTCTAATTCTGTAATGTATACAGGTAGGACTTCAACCGATGAGCAGGTGTTGGATTGGCAAGCGAGGATAAATGTATGCCAGGGTGTGGCGCAGGGATTGTACTATTTGCACGCATCATCCCAATCTAGAATCGTACACCGAGACATCAAAGCTAGCAACATTTTGCTAGACAAGAACTTTCAGCCCTAGATTGCAGACTTTGGATTGGCGCGTCCAATAGAATATGCACAGAGCGTCATACTGACCAATCAATGTGCTGGAACAATGTTCGTGCTAATTATCTCACCCTCCATTCCACCTCTTCATTGAAGATTACAATCAAATTCAGCTGTGTCCAACTGAAATTCTAATTGTGCCTTATGGTGCAGCTTCAGGATTTTTGCACAGCTAATTCGTCTTGTCATTCACTGTAACTAAATGCCAATTCCAATACTTGCAGTGGATATTTGGCACCGGAATACATGTGCCATAGCATGTTAAGCCATAAGGCGGATGTTTTTAGTTTTGGTGTTCTGTTGCTGGAGATCGTGAGTGGGAAGCGAAACAGAGACCTCACGATGCCAGAGGTCGAAATATATCTGCCCACTCGGGTACTATAATTCTCCTTCCATTTCAGTTGTTCCATTTTGTGTCTGCATTCCTCCATTCTGGCTTCATTGCAGCTGGTTTGCATACAATGGTTGCGCACAATTGCATTTCACCAGATGAATCAGCCTGTGTTGGGCTATTGTAATGAACTGATAGCACTGGTTACTGAAATTGTGATGAAACATTAAGTAACCATTTTTCAATCATATCACCTGCATAATTAATTGACATGAATTCTGGGTTTATTAACTTCTGATATTGCAGGCATGGAAATTGAATGAAGAGAACAGGCTCCTAGACCTGAAAGATCCAAGGATGCTTCCAAGCGAAGAGGAAGTTGAGGAGGTGCAACTACTTGATACGGCCGTGTTGTGTGTACGAACAATGTTGGCCAGGAAGGTGGATATTGCCGATGATTCTGATACATGGGCGTCAGAGAATGGAATATTGAATGAATTTGATGATGGGACTTCTCAACATCCTGTACATCAGCTCCCTTAAGCCAGGGGCCCAGTTACAAATGGCAATGCCACTATTGAACTGAGAATGGTGCACACTGGGAGGTAACTAATACTGGTAATTTATAGCAGGATTTCATAGTGAAGGTGATTTGGAGGTATGAACACAAAAATAGGGCATCATGACCAATGACCCTACTTAGAAGCAAAGTTTTGAGGAGAAAATAATATGCACTTTGACAGGCCCTAGTATTATGTATCAAATTGCATTTTCAATTTTTGGCATAAAAGCATATGTAAAATTAAAGAATAGAGTCCTATTGGAATGGCAAAGCAATTAAAAGCTTAGTCCTAATTGTATTCTTGCATTAAGATGTTTTGAAAGGACTATAAAGTTGGTGAATTTTCATTTGTAAATTTATTTGTTCATTTTTTATTATTTATTTTATTATTTACTTAAAAAAAATTGGTTACAGGTCTTGTATATTAAGTTTTTAGAATTCTTTAATATTTTTCTAGGATTTAATTATTTTTTATTGGCAAAAAACTCTTGTATTTGTGTGTAAAAATTTGTAGTAACTACCAATAGTCTAAATTACACATGCACTCATAGTGGTACATTTGACTCTTAAAACTCAAATCCTAAAATTGACATGTAACAAATTAACAATTTTGAGCTAATTGAAATTTTGGGGATTTAATGTTGTTGAAATTTTTTGAAATATTTCTTTTGCATCAAAATATTATATTTAATCTAATCACATCAAATATAATTATAAATTTAATGACTAATAAAATATTATAAAAAATTTTAAAAATGAATAAAATCCAATACAAAACATTTAAAATAAAATCATTGCAAAAATGATTAATATATAGGATCTAAAGTACATAAAGTATTGGATCTACTAATTTTTAAAACAAGCAATTAGATTAAATATTTGTAAACTAGATAAACAATAATTTACTATGTCTTCAAAGTAGTTGATTTTTGTTGGTTTTTTTAGCCCCTCTATAAAGATAAAGAAAGACATTTAAGTTGAAAGATTTTTTTAAAAAAATATTATATATAGAATATTGAAGTTTTTTTCAAATTCCTTAGAAAATTTATTAAAATATATCTTTTCAAAAGTATTATTCTATGACATTCGACTTCAATTGAAGAAAAGACCATTTAAAAGAGATAAGTGAGACTCATAGGAAGGACTTAATTATCTATTTTATTGATCCTACTCAACTTTGGTTTTTCAAGTTCTATTTTAAAGTAAATGCTTCTTGGCAAGTCTCTTTTTACTTTTTTCTTCTCTTAAAGTAGCTCACTTATAGCCCTTCTTGTTTCAAGAATAAAATAAAATTTAGTGAGAAGATTTAAATTCCTTATTAACAAACGTATTGACTTTTTCAAAAATCAATGGAGAATTTGAAGCAATTCTTTCATACTTGAAGAATATTGCAAAAATTGATGTATAGGTACATTAATAATATGCCATTTTCTTTCTTATTACTAAGTGATTATATAAAAAAAATCATTTATTTTAATATCTCATTAAAGAAAGTAGAGGTATAAAAGCCCAAAATTAGGATTTTTGTAAAAAAAACTTTATTTATAACACTATTAGAATTAAATTTGTCATAAAGTACTCAAAAATTGCTCAAAAATTGCTCAAAAATTGCTTGTGATATATGTATACTATAGCATTAAATGAGATTTTTGGAATAAGCTTAAGATCAAGTGATAATTCCAAGTATTGAGTAAGACATGGCTTAATAAAATTGTTGAATAATTTAATAGGAGTACATTCATAGGAGTTTAAAGTAACCTTGGGGTTATTTATACCCCCACCTCTCTTTAATTCCTAATAGCCCAAAAAATATAGGTCAAAACTTAGAAGTGTTATCATATACAACTCTAAAGGAGTTTAGTCCAAAAATAAAATAAAAGGCATAATGTCTAAAAATTCTCTATATAGTTAAAATTTCAAAAAATATTTTAGATTTTTATTGAATAAATTTAAAAGATATTATCTTGGAATATATATCAAGAATATATATATATATATATATATATATATATATATTATTTTTAGTACTTAAATATTTCTATATTATTCTAAAATTTTACAAAAAAATTAAAAAAAAAGAAATGATAACAAAAACATCATTATTTTTTTAAATAATAAATTTACTAATATAATCTTTTAATAAGTCTAGTAGATAATCATGTGCTTGAGTCTTTAGGTAATCTATCATTTTCAATCTCTAATATAGAATTTGAGCAAATAATGATTGAGATATCATTAAAATCTAATATTAAAATCATTCTTTCTAAATTCATACCAAAATTAATATCAAATATTATTCAATGTTCCAATTCAAGTCTTCAACTTTTATCTTCTAATATATTAAATTCTAATAATATCAATGTAGCTTCGAGTACTAATTTTCTTGTTCCATATGTCTTTAATTTTCATAAATATGGATCAATTGGTGAACTTCCTAAACTTCTCTTGGCTTAGTTTCATCTTGCCAAGTACTACAACAAAGGCTTAATAAATATAAGTATTCAATCTTTTCATAGATCTCTAACTTGAGATACATAATCTTTAAAATAATTTATTTTAAGATCTAGATTTGAATTTTAGATCTTTTATTTGTAAAATTTCTAATGTTCTATTAAAGAAGTAAAGGAGGCAGTAATAACAATCCTATCAGACTTATTCAAAAGAATACATAGCAAGCAAGTCAAGTTCTTTTGCAATCATATCAAAAGAACTATAACTAGCTATTAAGTTTTGACTATTAGAAGAAGAAAGGATGACTCAATTAAGAGTATGATTTGATGAGAAGTATTTTCATGGTAAGTTTTAAATTTCTTATATCTTATTTTATTTTATATTTTATATTTTTTTGACAAATATAAATATATATATATATATATATATATATATATATATATATATATATATATATTGCGAGATAAAGGTTTAAAAAAATACAAATGTTCTAACTAAGTCTAGCCAAGACTTATACATAAGTATGATCTAACTAAAGACTTTGGTAACTTAGATTAGGACAAATAATTTTTTATTTAAGAACTTTTGACTCCCATACATCTATTGATTCATTGGAATTCCATTAATATTGAAATTTTGCTAAAAAAGTTGTTGTTTTATTTGATAACTTCTAAATTTTGGATCGGATTAATACCTAGGCAAGTTTCTTACAATCAATGAAGCTCAGCCACAACAAACTATGTATCTTTTCATTGTGCTAATTTCTATCATTGAAAGATACATCATTGCATTCTATTTAGAAGTCCTAGATTATTATCTCTCTTTGTAGAAGCCAAAATCCATTTATCTTATTAAACCTTCTCATAATCCTATATGTAAAAATGCCATATTTCCATGTAAAGCTAAGTTCTTGTATAATAGTGCTTTGGCCTTCTTTTTGACATGCAAGTTGACTAGAATTGCTTCTTTTAGTATCTACATCTTTTGTATATATTTACGAGGCTATTGGCTAAATTATCATGGTTTATATTCCTAGCATTTTGTTGCATGCCTAGGACCATATTTTGTGTATAATGGAGCACATTCTATAACTTTGTTACTTTTTTTAAGATCCTAAATTCCTAGTGTCATGATTTAGTTGTCCTAAAATACTTCCAAAAATAATAAAGCATTGTATTGTCCTTGCTTGTGAGGCATTTAAGACAACATTAATTGATGGAGTCTTTTATTTGACTATACCATGTATTGATAGCAACTAATCAATGAAATATAAGCCAAAGGAAGGTTCTCTCTATAAGCACCTATTGCTTATTCCAAACATTATTCTATCTCAACTTATATAATCCTAAAAAGATCCTTCATCACTCCTTTTCTACTTCCTCAACAATCTTAAGTCTCTTTTTGAGCATTCATTGACTCATATGTATAAAGTAATATAAGAAAGATATATTATTTGGCAATAAGATCTTACATGGATTCTATTTTAGTATATCTATTTAGTAATAAAAAAATAAAAATTTACATTTATACTTGCCTTTGTTGTATTTGCTCAAATAGGATCTGATGCATCTTTTATAATATCAAGAAGCTTTTTTTGTTCTTTATACTATGGCTTATATTCTCCTAATTACTAACTTAGTATATCTTTACCAAACAAAGAATCCAATAATAAAGCATATTTAAAATAAGTGTAAATTTGGAACAAAATTACATCATTGTATGAAGAAAGAAACCCTCTTCTGTCTCACACACACACAAACACACACACACACACACACACATATAGATATAGATATATATATATATATATATATATATATATATTCATCTATTCACTTAATAAGATCTAGTTTATTTTATGTCATAGAATGTGTCTCTTTGTAATTTGTAGCTCTTTTCAAGCTGCCTCTATGCATTTGGTTTATTGTTATATTATCCAAACCAAATTGTGACTTCAAAAGAAGTAAAAAATCTGATTGTTCCATACATCCTAATATACTTGCATCTTAGCTTTATGTATATGAAAAACTCATAATTTAAAAAATCTAGGGCTTATCAAAGAGATGTTGGGTCAATACTAAAGACTGCTACTTAATAATTCTTCCAAATATTTTAGAGGCATATATATAACCTCAGATAAAATCTTATTTAAGCTCTACCTATCTGATTCCATTCTATTGATTTTCTTTAAATATGACATGACAAAAGAATATAATAGTTAAGGCTTAAGGATCATCTTCTACTTGCATATGGTTGAAAGTTCTCAAATTTTATATCTTAATATGAGCTAAAGTCTTAATTGACTTGAATTGAAGATTTGATTGACTTCATTCTAATGGTTTCATAATCCATTTAATTATAAGTATTTTCATGACTTTATTATGTTGTGATTTGGCTACCATGTAAAAATAATGCATATATATATATATATATATATATATATATAATTTACTATATAATGTAGTAAAAGTCATATTATTAGATTTAATTGGTTACAAAATGTGATTAGATTATTGTTTTGAAGTAGTTA